CCTCCCTCCTCCTGGCCGTCGGGGCTCTCTGATCCATGAACAGCTATGGTCCTGCCAGACCACAGATGCTGCCAAACCAGAGCCCCAGTTGAGAGAGGTTCAGCCTGTAGCCCCGTGCATTGAAGCATCCTAAGAATGACTCTGAGGGTCCTACTGGCCCCAGGAGCACTGAATGAATGGTTCCCCCTCTTTCAGACCTTGGGGTGGGACCTAGACCATCACCAGAGGTTAAAGGAAAATAGCAGTAAAATGCCAGGAGGCAGGGTTCTTTTCAGCTCAAGATTGAAAGGAGCATGCATGAGCTGTGGGAGGAGGGGAGTTCCCACTGACTAAAGCCAAGCCCTGGGGAGGAACACGCATGCCAAAGCACCTTGTTAGCTCACAAATCTTCACTGGCTTCCTCGTGTGGCAGTGGCGGCTAGCGGCCTGTGGAGAAGCATGTCCCTGGAGACGCACCAGAGGAAAAGCAACCGCGGCTGCTAACTGGCGAGCTTGCAGTGTCCTCAGGACACAGAAGGCCCTGGTGCCGTGACAGAAAGGGTGTGGACGCATTGGAGAGGGTCCAGCGGTGGGCGACCAAAATGATTCGGGGGCTGGGGCACATGACCTACGAGGAGAGGCTGAGGGAGTTGGGTTTGTTTAGTCTGCAGAAGAGAAGAGCGAGGGGGGATGTGAGAGCAGCCTTCAGCTACCTGAAGGGGGGTTCCAAGGAGGCTGGAGAGAGGCTGTTCTCAGTGGTGACGGATGGCAGAACAAGGAGCAATGGGCTCAAGTTGCAGTGGGGGAGCTCTAGGTTGGATATTAGGAAAAGCTATTTCCCGAGGAGGGTGGTGAAGCCCTGGGATGGGTTCCCTATGGAGGGGGTGGAATCTCCATCCCTAGAGGTCTTTAAGTCCTGGTTTGACAAAGCCCTGGCTGGGTTGATTGAGTTGGGGCTGGGCCTGCTTTGGGCAGGGGTAGGACTTGATGACTCCTGAGGTCTCCTCCAGCTCTATGATTCTATGTGCCTCCGTCGAACGTTTGCTGCTAGGAGCCTTTATGCCACCTCCAGTCAGCAGCACGTGGGATGGAGTTTAACAAGCCCATCAGCCTTGAAGGAGCTGCTCATTCAATGCAAATCCAAGGGCATCCCGTGAAGGAGAGCCCTGGGCGAGCTAGCCGCATGGAGCCACGTCCTCAAGAGACAGGGGTTAGTTGAAAGAACCCGAAACAGGTGTTGTGGGAAATCATTTGAGTCAGATCTGTCATGGGTCTCACGTGCATCACCCATTTCGGGGGGGGGGGCTCCAAGGAGCATGGAATTTCAGCAGCGCTGCTCAGCCTGCTGCCAGGGGAACGCTGCGGCGGCTCGTTTTGCGTGCAGGGGTGGGAGCAGACGAGCAATAGAAAGGGCGATTGGACGCCCCTTTTGCAAACAGCATGAGCCAAACTGGAACAACCCCCTGCACAGCACTGGAGTCGCTCCGGACCACGCTGGCCTCACAGCAGAATGTGGCCCTTTGTGTGGGAAC